CTGAGTGGTAAAAATATGATTACTCATATCTCATTCTTCTTTAAGCTATATATATATATATATATATATATATTTTTTTTTTTTTAGGGTTTGTGAATGTTTATTAAAAACTTGTTGACTCCTAGATGGTCCAAACAGTCTTACTCTTTAGGTTATGATCATATATTTTTTAATGTATATTTTATAATTGAAAAAAAGGAAAAAAGAGAACTTTTTAATGCTGCAAACAAGGACACAGATAGGTTTTTAGATATTAAACTATTAGAATGCTGAAGTGAAGAACACTACTGAAAGAAGGAAAAGTTACCAAAGACAGCAAAGGCATCTTACAGAAATAAAAATTGAAGGTAGATGGGTCAGCCAAGTGGCTCAATTGGTTAAGAGTTGGCTTAAGAGCGCGAGCTCTGAGCAACAGGGCCGCCAGTTCGATTCCCACATGGGACAGTGATGCTGCACTGGAGCTGAGCTGTCACTGAGCTGCCAACAGGTGGCAGGATGGCTCAGCTGGTGTAACAACAAGATTGCCTGTTCAATGGTGGGTGACGCCCACTCACAACTAAGATTGAATTCGGCACCTTGAGCTGAGCTGCCGCCCAGATGGCTCCGTGGATAGAGAGTGCGATCTTAACAACAAGGCTGCTGGTTCACTCCTGCATGGGATGGTGGCTATGCCCACCCGCAACTAAGATTGAACACAGCACCTTGAACTTAAGAGGCCATGAGCTGCCGACGGGCAGCCAGATGGATACTGGCACCCTCCAAAACAAAGACTGAAGAACAACTTGGCTGCTCCCCTTCCCCAATTCCCAACACTGTTCCCCACCCGCAATTCCCAAAACAAATCCATAAAAAAAATAAATAAAAAAAAGAATGTGAAAAGACAATGGGAGAAAACATTAAAAAAAATAATTGAAGGTAGACAATGAAGAATGCAATTGACAGTATATGCAAAAGGCATTGTCACTGTTTTAGGAATCAATAAAGAGTATGCTGCTTGTACAGTGAGTTTCTGAAGTAAAGTTTTTAAAAAGCTAATTTGTTTAGTTAAGAAAATTACAGATAGGAAATAAATTTGTATTTAGGTGTTAATAAAGTCAAATTATACTTAAATCTTAATTAGTGGTTGAAATGATCTGAAATATTAAATAAAATCTTACCTGGTAATCTCTTTTTCTAATTCACCATTTTTCTTCATTTCTTCATCCAAACTATATTCCAGAGATTGTTTTAACTCAATACATTTCTTTAATTGTTCCTTTTCATTCTCAGACTTTGAAAAATATTTTGTACAAAAATTAGTTTTAAAAATCTAGAGACTCACTTTTCTTTCTCTAAAATAATATTCCTCATTAGTTCATGAGTATTATGTGTAGACAGGTTTATAAAATACAGTTTATAAACCTAATGCTAATACGGACAGATTTTTAAAAACAGTGACTTTTCTTAAAACACTTTAAATTGATTTTACATTGTCATCATTTTTTTTCTGGAATTTAAATTGCTATAATTTGTTAAAAACAGAGGTTTTACATGTAAAATACTAAGTGGTAAAGAACTTTTTAGAAGAGTGGCTATATGAGGTGTGCTCAAACAATATGGTAAATATTTAAATTAAAAAAAATTTATTACAGTAAGACACATTGCCTTTAATCCCCCTCAGAATATTCGTCCTCACTTCAAACATACTTATCCCATCCTTCTTGACACTTTCTGAAGAATAGGGTCTTCAGAAAAGTCATGACATATTTTGTCTGTTTTTCAAAGGTCATTTATTTATATAAAGAGCAAAGATCAATCAATGATATATTGCCCATTTGGTTTGATAACCTTTTGCCATCTTTCAGTGAGCTTCATAATTCCTCATTCATAAAAGGACTTGTCTTTGTTTGTGAAAAACTGAACAAGGTGCTAATTTACAGCCTCATCTGAATTGAACGTTATACCACGCAAGTTTTGAAGAGAGCGAAACAAGTGGAAGTCTGACAGCCCAAGCTGAGGCGAGTATGGTGGGTGTGGGAACACATCCCATCCCAGCTCCAATAATTTTTGACGGGTGATCAAACTTGTGCGTGGTCTCGCGTTGTCGTGATGGAACACAACTCCTTTACAATTAACAAGCTCTGGACGTTTCTGGATGATGGATTCATTCAAACTGTCCAATTGCCGACAGTACACATTTGAATTGATTGTTTGGTTCCTTGGTAGGAGCTTGCAAAACACAATTTAAAATCCCACCACACTGAGAGCATAACCTTCCTCTGATGAATATCTGCTTTTGATGTTGTTTGAGGCGAATCATCACGTCAGGACCAAGACCGTTTGTGTGCCACATTGTTGTAAACAATCCACTTCTCACAACCAGTTATCAGTCGCTTCAAAAAAAGGATCATTTTCCTCACGTTTAATGAGCATAATGCAGATGTTTATACACACCGTCAAATGAACTTCGAGTTCATGAGGAACCCAAATATCGAGCTTGTTTATGATCCCAGCTTCTTCAAGTGGTCGTGAATGCTTGAATGATGGATGTTCAATGCTTCTGCAATCTCTCGTGTTGTGTAATGTGGGTTTCACTCGATCAATGCCTTTATTTTGTCTTCATCAAACTCGGTGGGCCTCCCTGACTAAGGAGCATCGTTGAGATCAAAATCACCATCACGGGAGCCAGCCGAGTAGCTCAGTTGGTTAAAAGTTGGCTTAACCGTCCAGAAGCCGGTGACTGATCTGCCTCACCTGGAAAGAGTGCAAAGATGGTGCCAACTTGGGCCAGTGAAACAATGTCCTCCACAACTAGACTGACAAACAAAAAGACAGCAACTTGTCTGCTCCCCTTCCGCCAATTCCCCAGTGCTGTTCCCATCCCCCAATTCCCCAATAAAAATCTTAAAAAAAATAAATATATTGAATAAATAAATAAATAAATAAANTTTTTTTTAGCTGAGCCATCCTGCCACCTGTTGGCAGCTCAGTGGCAGCTCAGCTCGGGCCGGACTCGAACCGCTGTTGCTCAGAGCTCAAACCCTTGAGCGAGCTCTTAACCAACTGAGCCACTCAGCCGGCCGAAGAGATTTTTTTAAATGTGGGTCTGTCCATACAATGGAATGTTATTTAGCAATAAACAGAAATGAATTACTGAAGATACATGTGACCAAATAGATGGACCTTGGAAACATTATGCTAAATAAAAGAAGGCAGTCACAAAGGACCACATGTTGTGTGACTCCATTGATATGAAATGTCCAGTATAGAACAGGCAAATCTATAGAGACCGAGAGTACACTACTGGTTCCCCAGGGCTAGGAAGAGTTGGGGAGGGCAGACTGGCACACGGTGAAGGCTAAAAGGTACAGGGATACTTTTAAGGTGATGAGTGTGTTTTAGGGTGATAAAATTGATTGTGATGATGAGCTTTGAATACACTAAAAGCCACTGAATTGTACACTTTAAATGAGGGAACTGCATGGTATGTTCATTATATCTCAATAAAGCTGTTACCAAAAAAATGATTTAATGCTAGTGCTTTGGAGTAGTGCGATGGTGTCCTTCTTAGCTTCAGATCACTAGCCAGGGTTCAAGACATAGGAGAGTTAATAGTATGTCCTTTTTAGAGAAAAATGATATAGAAAAAAAGCTGTCTTTTTCACTGACATTAAGTGTATAAAATTAATAGAAAAATATATATTTCACTGTTCAAAGTATTGAATGATTTATATTTTCCCAAATTAAGTGATTTTGGGTCCCAAAACTAATGAAAAATTACCTTCTGTTTTAACATATTAATCTGAATATCCATTTCACTTTGATTGGGTTTTAAACCTCCAGGGAAATTAAGCTCTCCATTTTCATATTCATTTAATTTCCTTCTTGTCATTTTTAAGAGTTTCTTAAATCTGTAGAAATGTAGAATGATAAGTCAAATTCTTTAAGAATAAATATTTAATAATCATTTAAACAGATATTATGTTCTATCATAAAATAAACAAATCTATCAATTATGATTCTTATTTGTTCTAATACTTTTTGAAAGCATAATAACTAAATTATAACCTTAGGTAAATAATATGAAAAAAATTCTTATGACATATGAAACAGTTAATATTGTAACTATAGAGTTCTTATAAATAAGTTATTATTAATATTCATTTCTGTATGTTAACATAAAACATCAACCTATTATGAAATATCAGCTCTACACCAGATATCAGTATCCAAATTGAAGAAGAAAAGCATAATTATACATGAATGCTTTGAAAAGACACAAAAATACCATTTGGTACCTACTGATTACAGTCTACAAGAAGAAAAAAAAAGTACTAACAAGAGATCATTCAAAATAGAAAGAGAAGCAAAAAAGAAAAATCTTTGAAGTCTGAGTGAAGGGGAAAAGGAAAGGAACAGGGCTTTAGAAGAAAGGAAGTCAGAGAGATAATATGTAACCGTCTCTTCAAGACTGTTTTAGGACAAGATCCTTGCTAGCACAATGTTAACAAAATGAGAGGGATACAAAACAATACAAGAAAAACAGTTCAATGAGAGGAAAACCATTGATGAGAGTCAGAGAATTTAAATACTGGGCAAATAAACAGAAAGGAAGTCATGTGGAGGCTTCCCAGACATTGGGGAAAGATTCCATTATTGTTTAA